TACTCATTTGCATCTGTTTGCTAAAGAATACATTTTGTGGTAGAATAAATTGAAGTGCTCCAGGAGAGAGTGTTTTCTAATAAAAATTTTAGAAAGCAGGGTTGTGTTTTATTATGAACTTTGAAAATGGGACCTACACCAATATTGTACTTGGTAGACTCTGCATGTTCTTAATACGGTCTCTTAAATTGTTTTGAGATTAATAGAATGCAGACTTGATTCTTCCTCTCTCTCCCTCCTCCCTCTCCTCTCCCCCACCCCCCAGTGATCACAGGCTACCCAGAACATTTGGGGAATGCCGGAGTGCACTCATCCAGGTCAGCTGTCTGATTCTAAGGAGAGTCTGATGAGATGATAGCCCACAAGCTCCAATATGAAATATTTTTCCCCCCTGAAATCTGCTGGTATTAGAAATAATCATGTCCCCCAGCAGATCTGGAGTACGATCATCTTTCTGATACTAGAGGTATTCAGAAATGGGAAGTTGAGCTAAATTGAGGTTGCTCTGCTCTTCAACCTAATACTTTGCCTCTTGATTTTAACATCAGCATTAATGAAAGAGGTGTGGTTGTTCTTGAGTCCTGTCTCTTAGCCTACAGTATAATTCATGTACCCTGTCTCTTCCCTTGCAATTTTAAAAACATTTCTCGTGTTTTCTCCTTATCGGGTAACCATGTGTCCCTGAAAACTGGAAGTGTTCCTCTTAGAGTTATAAGAACATTTTGTCTGTTTTTTGTTACTTCTCCTTGCAGATTGGCTAGCTGAGCTGGTGAACTTGATGACAAACTGAGCATATGTAACTCAAGTATTGTCCCCTCATGGCACCTTGCCCTACGTTCCCAGAGGCCTTCCCATGAGCCCCCACCTTTCAATTGCACAAGTCCTCAAGACAGCCTTTCCTGCATGTAGAGGCACTAATCCTGCGGGTGTGGGAGGGAGGAGGAAGTTGGTGTATTTTTTTTTCAGCCAAACAACCTACTTTTCTCTCATTATCCTTTGGGGGAAGGGGGAAATCAGTTACGATCAAACAGAAACCAGTTTTGACAGGGATATTTCAGGTCAAAGCTTTGGTTTGCTCCGAAACTAAATGTTTTGTCATTTCCAGGTATTTGTAACCTTTTGTTTTTTTAATAAAACAAAAGAAATGGAGGGCTCAATTCAAGGATGAGAAAAGTGGTGCTGGTGCCACACCCCACCCCTTAAATCTAATAAACCCCATGATTAGGATACTCACGTGGGATATAGGAGACCCAGATTTTAGTCCCTGCTCCGCAGCATGATCCTCCCAGTGCCTTAATTACCAGGCTATTGGATATTCTGGGATGGGTCTCAATCTCTCCTGCTGAAGCCATTCCAGATTGTACGAAATACTTGAATGGCACTGGGCCACAAAGAGAGAGAGAGAGAGAGCAGATGACTCTCTAGAGCAGGGGTCGGCAACGTTTGGCACGCGGTTCGCCAGGGTAAGCACCCTGGTGAGCCGGGCCAATTTATTTACCTGCTGATTAAGCAGGTTCGGCCGCTCGCGGCCCCCACAAGCCGCGGTTCGCCGTCCCAGGCCAATGGGGGTGTCGGGAAGCCGCGGCCAGAACATCCCTCGCCCGCACCGCTTCTCGCCGCCCCCATTGGCCCGGGACGGTGAACCGCGGCGAGTAGGGGCCGCAATCGGCTGAACCTGCCGCGTCAGCAGGTAAATAAACTGGCCCGGCCCGCCAGGGTGCTTTCCCGGGCGAGCCGCGTGCCAAATGTTGCCGACCCCTGCTCTAGAGTGTGGTATTTAGGGCACTCACCGGGCATGTGAGACACCCAGTTTTTAATTATTTATACAAAGAGGAGCTTCTTCAGCATCAGAGATTGAGACCCACCCCAGAATAACCAATAGTCCATGGATTGGGGCACTAAGAGAGGGGAGACTTGGCTTCAACTCCTTGCTCCAGAGCAGTGATTTGAACCTGAATCACCCACATCCTGGGTGAATGTCCTTAACCTATGGACTTTTGGGTGTAAGGGTGGGTGGCCGCTCCTCCTCCTTCTCTGATTGTTTGGGAGTGTATAAGCCCCCTAGTGATCTAGCTCAAAAATTTGTATTTGTCCAAAACTATTTGGCAGATTTGTGTCAAATTCGCAAATTGTAGGGTTGACCCGAAACTACAATTTTGGCAAATAATTTATTCATCTAGAATATTTTGCCCAGCTCTATAAACTATTCCTTCAGGCAGTGAAAGCTCCATTCTCACTTACTCTGTTGGACAGTTGATTGGCAGTGGATGGGAGGTGCTGGTAAGCCAGTTTGGAGCTGGCATAGTCCAAGTTTGGAGATGGAATAAAGTTCCTTCCCCCATCTCCAGTCCCTGATCAGTCCTACTTTCCTGAGCCTCCTGATCATCCTAGACCAAAGACAGTGTTCATAGTCCCCCCCGTTGCAACACGTTTTTATTAGGATACAAGTGTTTGGGGGATAAAAAGACACTCTCCCTTCCTTCAGCTGGAAGCTGGGTGTATATGGTCCCTTCCCTCCCTCTATTTAATTATATCCATGTATTCACATTTTTCCATTTTATGGCACAGTCAGTCGGTTCTAATTCTGAGTTATCCATTCCCTACATAGAAATACATGCATGATCAAATGACTTTAAAACTTCTAATTTAGGCTTTCATTTTCTCTATGAAATGAAGAAAAGAAACTTTGTTATTTATAGCAGATGATATTTCTGTCACACGTTTTGAGCCAACAATAGATCTGTGGTCACACTATGTACCACTGAACTGCCTATAGACTTTAAGGCCAGAAAGGATCATCATGATCATCTAGTCTGACCTCCTGCAGATTGCAGGCCACAGAACCTCACCCAATCCACTCATGAAATAGACCCATAAACTCTGAGCAAATATTTTCTCTCGTCTCTCAATTTGAACAATATTATGCTGGTGGGATCCATATGCAAGCATAATAATTTTAAGAAAGATTCTCAAAAATTAATGTCCTGGAGCAGATACTTGAGAACTAGATGTAACTGTCTTTCAGGATAAAATATCAGCTACTTTAATTCTGCACCGCACCTTGGCTGTGAGCTCTTCATCTCCTAAGCAAAGCAGGTACTAATTATGAAGAGAGAAAAGGGAGAAAGGTGCTGTTTACTTGCAATGCACCTTTCACCAACGCATCCCGAAAGGAAGTAGCTTTAATAGAGGTATCAAAAAACTTAACATAAATCATCCAAAAACTTGAATGGAAAGGTTCTAACAGGCATGTGTGAAACTGAAGAACTCTAAAACAGCTCAACCAGTTAACTTGTGCTTTGGATTGTTTCCTTCCTTATGAGGGCTGCTAAACATGGCAAGATTGAAATTTCTAGCATAAACTGCTTTTCTGTTGTTCAGGATCAAAAATTCCAATCTATGGAGGCAATAAATACAAAGCGCAAACAAATTCACTTTGGTCAAACTTCAAAAAACACACGTGCTCACACCTTGTAATTTTGAAGGCTTCAGTTAGAAAGTGAATTTGAACTAAGTCTCTTCTCCACTAAGAAGCTCAACATCCCTCAGAAGAAACCTTTCCTCATAACAGCCCCTTCCCCCCTGCACTTCCCAAGTCAGGCTGCCCACTGTTTCCTCCATCCAGATATTTGTAAAAATTGTCTGTATTATGACTAGCTGTGATTTCAGACTAATACATTTGACCAAAGTCTCTCTCTTCTGATTCCTAGAAATTAGAGATGGAAAATACTGTAGCTTATCAACAGTAATAAATCCCCTTTCAGTGTACGACCGTTCCTTACAGTTGTAGATTGAGTACTTTATAAATGCCTAACTAGAAAGCAAGAACGACATTCTAGTGCTTTAGGAAGTCTAGTTTATTAAAGTGATTTTTTTTTAAAGGACTGGTTATCTGCTTTCTTGAGTGCATCTCCCTTAGCACATATCCACTACATACTGTGCTCTCAATTTTTGCCTTGAGAAATATCAGCCAAAGGCCAAGTGTGTATCCTTTTCCATTATCCGAAGGATAAGAGAGCTATAAATCTTATGTCAATTTTAAGTGATTACTAGAAGTGCTGAGAGGAGGTTTGTATTTGGAAGATAAACAGGAGCTACTACATAGTGAGTCATCCCATCACTTTCTGGCATTTCTGCTAGGTTTAAAACTGAAGGTAAAAATATCTATCTCGCTGTGATGACACTTTACTATGCAGTCAATGTAATAAGTATGGGAGAAGCATGACAATTACTAAACGGTAAAGACAATCCAAAGGGCCACCCACAAGTGAACAAAGTCAAAATAGAAACACTCCTTTTGTGAGTATTCTTTTGTCAGTATCCTATGCAAATGAAAAGGCTCTACAACTTCAACCCCAATGAATGCAAAATTAACATACACCTGTGAATCTAGGAGTATAGCTGTGCTATGGCAAGTAACAACCATTAGCTGAAGGGATTACTTTAGTTTGAAATACCTAGATTGGAACCATACTCATCCCCGATGTAAATCCATTGACTTAAATTTGGCCCTGGACAAACTGAAACCCTAGTTCTCATTCCAGCATGGTTCCCAGCCCTTTATTCCAGAGAAGGTACTGGGTACAGTAGCTAAAATGATTACCATGAAGTTTACTTTGAGTTTTTTGGAAGAGACCTTTTAAATGTAAGTTTTATTTGATATGCATGAACATTAAAGATTGCATTGCACTTTCCCTAAGAGAAGGGAATTGTCCAGATATTCCTCAACAAAAAGTTCCCCTTCTAACCCTGTTGCACATTGTGTTGCATACCAGTTAACTACTACCTTCCACTTCAGAAGTGGCTGCTTTTCTGGTAGATAAGTAAATGCATGAAATGCTTTTGGATCATTGAGTATGAAAGAAGCTGCAGAACTGTAAATTGTTATATAAATCATTGCTGTTGATCTGTAAAGCTTCATTATGAATATATAGTTTAGTATAATATTGTGTATCAGGTATTCCAGATTTTCAGTGCATTTAATTGTTTTCTGGTTTCAGAATCCAAACCCTGACAAAGAAAACCCTCCTTGTAATGCACAGGAATTGGAGGAATGTGATATTTTTCTTGAAGACAGCACAAGCTTATGCAGATTTGATGGTAACACCTTGAAAATCACTCATGTGGTAAGTGAAATATGAAATCCAATTATGCTTACCCAAGTATCTCCCCTTCATACTTCTATACTAAAAAATCTTGATTTGTTTTCTGTGGTGAGACGTCTTAAAAACCACACCATACATTCAGCTGGTATAAATTGGTGTAGCTTCATTGAAATCTTGTAAATACTTTCTGTAATGAAAAACCTCAGTAATAGTTAGCTGCATATTTGCACAAATATATATGCTGTAGCAGTACACTTCTGCAAAAATCTCTCCCCAGCGCAGGTTTTAATTGATGATCCTTATTACAGCCATGCTATTTTGGAAATCTAAGTTCTTCTAGTATATGTTCCTGTCGGTGCTCCACTATAGGATGTGTGCATGCAATTGCAACCAGAGACTACAATGTAGTGACTGTAGGAGAGCAATGCCTCATGCTCTGAATGAGAGGTTATGGGGAGGCATGAGCCTGCCACCGCACTGTTCTTTCTCAACTGCCTGTGGCTCAAGAAAGAGTTCTGCTGTATGCAGCTTCCTGCCTTCATTTTGTGAATTCTTTACCATATTATTTATTTTAGTATTTTTTCTGCATTCATTTGATACCTATTTATTTTATTTAACACTGGCGTGTTAGTAGAAGAGGGGAGAGGGGCTCCTTTCCCTCCACTTCTTGGATCTTTCAGCCCTAGCTCTGGAGAAGTCCCTATCCCCCTGGAACATTGGTCATAGGCCATCTCGGTCCTTGTTGCTGCTTCATTTGCAGTTCTAGACAAGGAAACCTATCTCTTCAAACAAGGAAATGAAGAAAAGAGATAGATAGCCCCATAAGACCCATTCTCAGGAGACATCTTGTTCCTCCAAGGGTATTGTATAAGCTCTGACTGAGTGCGGTACTGAAGCCTTGGTACAGAGGGAAAACCTCATTTGGACATAGCTATCACCAGAGTAACTACTGAGGCAGCACCGTCTGACACCTTGCAGCACTGCAAGAGACCCAGGTCTATCAGTGCGATGGTAGCAGCATCTAACCATACGTCTGAAAAGAGATGACACCACAATTACCTCGATACCTCAACAGCCTCCATCTCGCCAATCGGAATCATCCCAAACTTCATGTAAGGCTATCAGAGCCCTCTACCTCCTTCCCAGTTCCTTTCTTCAGAGGATCTCATTCTCTCTCATGAACCCAGAGTCACCAATATGGAGAAGATCTACCAGTGCCATGTCCTCAATGCCTCTGAGAAAGTAGCAAGTTGAGACTTGCTTAAGTCTCCAGGCTTTGGTACCAGTTAGGACACTGGAGGCCACCCTGATCCTTAGCTCGGGGAAAGATTTGTGGGGAAAATAATGGAGGAAAAAAATCCCTGCACTTAAGGAACTTGGAGAATCATAGGGCACAGTTGTGATTCATTGTGCATCCTTATATAATTGCGGAATCTGCACAGATGATGCTTCTTACTGAACTGAGCATGTGCAGAGAGAATAGTTGTGAGGTCTTGTGAGTTCCATCAGCCTAAATGATATCTTCTATGTAAAAGGAAAGTGTACATTTTCTGTTTTTTCCTGCTTCACAAAGTTTTGCTAACAGTCATTTTTTCCCTTCCCATGGGCTCTCCCAGTTACATCTGCTTAATTGCGGGAGTTGAGTAGATGGGATTCAGAGGAGCTTAGTTTATCTTTGCAAACTGTAGATAGAACAAATGTCAATATTCAAAACCAAAAATGAAATCTGTCCAGTATTCAGAGGCAACATATACTGCCTGTTTAGCAGTCTGTGTTATGCTCCACTTTTGTCTTGGATACTTGCTTGACTAGTAGTTATGCTGGTTCTTCTGGTGTCTTTGCATCAGTATTAGGCAAGTTCAGTCATTTGCAAATAGTCTCTTATAAAAAGTGATAGTGAATTAATTTGTTCATTCTTATTAAAGTGATGTTTCGGTAGCACTTGCTATTGTTGGAAGTATTAGCAAGCAGATGTGATGCATGGTTTACAACATTGCATTATATGGTGCTCTAATGTGAGAAAATACGCCCCGTGGATTAGATTTAAGACTACCAAACTCATTTCACTTATAAACTCTACCATATATGAAAATAGATTCTGAAAGGGAGAAGTCTTGTGTATCAAAGGAGTGGATGCTAAGTGCTATGTCCCTGAAGATCAAACAGTGCATGAAAACATCTTTCATACTAGTTGAATATTTTCAGAACTAGTAGAAAATTGTTCCAGTACTTCACAAATCTTTTAATGGTTTTATAAGAATGGGTTGCTGTTTGCTGAAAAATAATCTTCCATGACTAATCAACAAAGCACTTTCTCCAAAGTACTGTATGTGAGAGTAATAAAGCATCTTGTTTGTGTCCAACCCAAGAGGCTAATTTATTAACTGCAATCATTGTGGGGAAGATCATTACAGAGACTGTACATATAACAAGCAAAGAGATGCTTATGAGATGAGAGAACTCCTCTTTTCACTCAAAGATCAAATAATTTCCAGCTAGCTACTAGGAAAGAACAGGCTCAATGCAAATTGATTTGTTTTTAAAATACTTTATTAAATCCCGTGGGGGGGGGGGAGGTTGTATCAGATCTACAGGTGACAGACAACCCTTTGATCCTGAGAAGAAGGGGAGGGATAGGCTCAGGCTACTCTCAACCCCTCCTTTCTTTCCCCCTGCCCAGAGCACTAAATGTAGGACAAGTAGTAACGGTCCTAATCTGCAGCAAGGGAGGTTTAGGTTAGATGTTAGGAAAACTGTCTAACTATCAGAGTAGGTAAACCCTGGAATGGGTTAGCAAGGGAGGTTATGTAATTCCTGTCATTGAGATTTTTAAGAACAGGTTGGACAAACACTGTCAGGGATAGTGTAGGTTTACTTGGTACTGCTTTAGCATGGGGGTCTGGTCTAGATGACCACTCAAGCTCCCTTCCAGCCCTACGTTTCTATGAATCTGCATAAGAGACCCAAAAGTTGGCTTGTTGACCTTGCTCGTCTGGAGGAATGAGGAGAGTCTTTAGTTCTTCACAGACTGAGGTATCTTTGAGTGTACCGTCATTTTGTCTTGTGAGGAATGCAAGAGAATTCAGAGGCTGGCTGAATCCTAGGGGAATAGGCTGAAGGGGGCCAACTCTGAATGCTAGATATTTGACATGGAAGCCCTTTAACATCA